GTTGTTCTAGAACAGCGCAAAAATATATTCCCGGATTTACTATTTACCACTAGATAAACAATAATTTTAATTAACATTTTAAAAGGGTTCATTCATTTGTATAATCGTTTTTACTAGTCTACAAAGAGTAGAAAATTCCAGACCCCTAGCTTAGCGTACAAAGTGAAAAGCTAAAACGACGACATTTGACAGCAATTTAGATAATTATTTTCATTATTTTTCAAAGCTTAATTAGATCATTAACCCCCGCCTCCCAGGTAACCGTTTATAGACTTGTAAAAACGATGATAAAAACGGTTGTCTCCTAAGAATCCTGACGCTGACTGCTTTAAAAAGTAAGCCATTACAATGCAAATCCCGCTTCAAAACCTAATATCATAACGCGGGACATACCGCGTGGCAGATTTCAATAATGATCGGTATCGCGGGTGTTATCTTTAACTCTTTAAATACTAGATACAACTTCATTCGTGTTTGATCCTGTGCAGAAGGAAATGAAGTGTTTCGCACGTAATCCTCCCTTGCATCAAGTTACTCACCTGTTTTAGATCATCCCCTTGACCACATTTGTAGCAACAGTCCACATCGAAAGAAATGGAACATCTCCCGCCAAATTTTAGAGCATATTACCCGAAGGCCTTTGCGGTAGCAACTTACATTGTAGACCCAGTTCCATAGCTACCAGTAGTTTTGTCTAATCAAATATACTTGGGTATAACTTCAAATACAAATTGAGATTAATATAAGAAATAAAAATATTTTTAAAAGGACAAAACAACAAAGAAATATAGCAAAACTTTTGATTTATTGTAATACACAACACGCGCATCATGTCAAGGCGTGGCGACCCCGAATTGGGTCAGCTATTGTACACTATCTCTTTTAGCAGGAATAAAACATGTGACGATGTCTTTTTTAGCATGTTCTTATATTGAAAATAATATATCCATTTCACCAGTGTTTCCGTGAGTAGACATCCGTCTTTTTGTATTGTAAAATATCATTCAGTGACGTCATCATGACGTCATTGCTGTCATATATGTGCACAGTGAGTGTATGAGTCTCAAATTTATACATGTAATCATAATTTAAATCATACATACAAAGCAGCTCTTGTTTTGATGAAATCTTCGTACGTATAAAAACGCTGAGTCAGCGTATTTTAGCTAAGCTGCCCACCCAGGTACTAATGAATTTTGGAGTTGCCCCACGATCCAAAATTGACTAATACCCAATGGTCTTTCATCGTGGAAAGTTTCATGCTTTTATCAACTTTTGCACAATTCTGGACAAAAAATGGACTTATCCGCCTAACTAGTAGGGCTACAGAGAAAATAGGTGATTTTTCTTTTAAGAAAATTATAAAATGTAAATGGCACCTTTTATCTATTCTATAAAAACAATGTTAGCTATTGAAACATCAACTTTATATTTATTGTCATTGCGTTTTCATGATCAATTTGGTCAGCATTTACAGCACGTTCACTTTTCTGTATTTCAGAGCTGAAGGCGAAGCTGAAACCAGTTAAATATTAAAGAATTACAGAATTGAGTATTTTGTACAACAAAGAAGATTGTAAACAATAAACACCCAGTTAAAACAGGTTTTCTGTATTCTTGTCTTTTTTAAATCCAATAAATTTTATATTTTTATTGATAATTAGTTACAATTATATTGCACCAATAGAACTATTACTTCAATAAAATGTATAAAGCATACATATCGCAAAAAATAAGGAATATTGCCTTATGGGTACGAATTAAACTCGATTTTCTTCTGCCTAAAGTGCAACAGTTAGGGGGACCCTGCAATTCAAAGCGGACTGTTCATTTTGAATCTGAAAGTCTGCGGACTGCACGTGTTAATATAGGAAGTCCCCCGGACTTTCAGATTTAAAACTTAGTATCCGTGGACCCTACATTTTAAAACTGAGTGTCTGCCGGACACTCAGTTTTAAAACATAGGGTCCGCCGGACTCTGAAAGGGCCGGACTCTACGGCACGCTACACCGGCACCGCCGTGTCTCAGCTAACGCATTTCCCAGCATTTGCAGCTAAACTCAGCATCACAGATAAGGAGAGTATATGTGTAATATAATTTAATCATCGGACTCCGACTCTTTACATCTTCCGGTAAAACGGGTGTTAGTTTAAACTTTCATAACAATAAGAAATTTCTGAAAGAATAGGAGAGAATAACTTTACAAGCAATTCATTAAAGAAAATTAAACACCTTTTTTACATTCTAATCTTAAATATAACTGTGAAAGTTATAACTGTCCTTGGGTTAAGCCCAACCTTATCATAAATTGTTTGTGTGGTGTACTATGAGAATCAATGATGCCTAATCTAGTTTGCTGGAGAATTAGAAAATAAGTTTTATACCAATATTTCTCGCGATGTTACGGTAGTTGGACTTTGTATGCGATGTTTTCGATGCTCTTTATGATTCAACAAGATAATTTAGCCTATTTTAGTGTATTTGATTATGCTGTATGTAGGTCGTCAATATTTGAACATTATATCGCGTGTTTACTAATCAGGTTCAGACATGTAGTATCACCAGCGCTATCTCTCAGTCTCATGATGCACTAGTAACTGAACTTCGAACTGCATCCGAGGGAACAGGGGCTTATTTTGCCTCGAACATGTACTTAGTTACCAATATTTTTACGAATGTCGCGTTTGTATTTAAGCCCAATGGCAGATCCTGGGGTCTGCACAGTGGACACATGCTCCTCCCTTTACTTCTGCGGTATACCCCCCCCCCCCGGCACTTTCCTCATAAATATCATTAAAGAAAAGACATGTTATTTGTTTTTCACAAACTTAGATCTACGTAAAATATACATTGGGCTTAAATACATTCTACGTGGTTTATTTTAAATCACGGAGTTGTTTGCGAATTTTTCATTTTTCACAATTGGCAATTTGAAGGTGTGAGTTTGAATTATTGTGTGTCTGAAATCCTGTGCTAGCTGCATTGGTACATCACCAAAGATTGGCGGTGACGTTACTGTTAAGCATCATTACGGAAAACACGCCTAGATCTTTTATTTTGCAAGACAAAATATTTAAGCTTGAAGACGAAATATTTAAGCTTATGTGCAAATCTATGTAAAACTGTAGTTTAGAAAGCTTGTAAAATGTAACTGTACACATTTTAATGCTCAATGAATTATTATTAATATTATAAAATACAACTCCAGCTAAAAATTAGCCCAACAAGACTGTATTTCTTGAAGTTTTGAAGTTACATGCTAAATGCTTGTTTTTTTAAAAATATTTCAGAGATTGGCAATTTCAAGGTGACTAAATTCCCATGGGCAAGGTGCCCTTTGCTACATATACTCACATTTTCTGAATATATAAGTAGCAATAACGGCAGTAAATAATTAAAATGTGTTGATGATTGTGTTGTTAAGCACCATGTAATAAGGAATCATCATCTACAAAAAAAGTGCATCTATCGTTAAATCTGTTGCTCAAATTGGTTGCTCCTTAATATAGACTTTAAATGTTACGGTTTTTATCACTTTTGTCATCTACAGTGTATATGTCCGCCCATTTGACAACTTTCATATAGTTCATAGAATATCTAGCAAAAGACTTCTTCTTATTTTGAAGACTCATGACAAAACTGCAGAGTTTGACCCCTTCCTATAAAATAACCAAGCAAATGTGCTAATTTTAATACAGTGATTAGCTACTGGGTCAAGGATGTTACCTTTTTTGTTTATTTAAAGACACAGATGTCACAAAGTGTTCGAGGTACAAAAGACGTATTTCCCATTTTTCACATATCATCTGCATTTTGAGAACGAACCCCATCATTTGACGTAGTAAATCTTGTTATATTATTCGAACTGCTGTAGTTAAATGTATTAAAACAATCGAACCTCAAGCTGACGCACACATGTTAGCAAGAGCTGAGAATAACGTTTGGAACTGGTACTTGAAAACGCGTGAAGACACAGGCTTTGAATATATAAAAATGTAGAGTTGACACAAGCTGTCAAGGAAAGCAAGTTCTAAGTGCGATCGCGACTAAGTCCAATGAAATATTTTGCGCCAGTGCTTTGCCTCGTATCTGTTTACTCTTTGATAGGGTCATATGCGTTTCCTTCCACTATCTCAACACGAAAGGTACACGAAAAGTACTAGTACTATCAGCCATTGCAATGCATGTGTGCCGGTGGCGAGGCAGCGGCGAATTCCTCAGATCAAAAGTGGACAGGGAGGTAAGTTTAATTGGATTAATTGGATTGCACATGTTCTCATTAAAAACAATGGATACTGTTGATATTACATCGTTTCACACATATTTTTATTTTTTGTTTTTTTCTCCCTTGCCCCTTTTGTTTTTTCATTCACTCAGTTTCCTTTCTTTTTTCTTTTTGTACCACGTGTCATTTTTATGATCTCTTTCTCACATTCTACCCATACCAATCTTTTCTCCATATATACTTTCTTTTTTACCCAGAATTTTTCCACTCACTCTCATGTCGTCTCTTTTCTCCTATTCTCTCTTGCCTTCTTTCCAATCTTTTACTCTTACTCGTGATCTGTCTCTCTATCGTACGTAATTTTATAGCTTGGAATAAATTTTCCTTTCTGTTCTATTTCTGTGACGAAGTTGTTGGCTTGTCTTCGTCATGTTACGCGAGGTAGCAAATACAACTCAGATATTATCTTTCTTATTATTTATTGAACTACTGTCCAGTTATTACCCGCGCCGCTTCCTTCATTTCTATTCCTACCTCATGCAATCTGTAGCGGCCTTCTCTCTGTTTACACTAAGCGCAGTTCTATAAATACCATAAGAGCATGTCAATCAACTTAAGTTACTCTACTAAACACTCCCCGCTCTTATTCGCTGCATGCTGTCACTTACTAACGTTACATTTCTTAGCGTATCTCTCTTGCTCAGTTAAGGTTATATTACATTTAGCCAATGGTCACTTTATCATTGTACATGTATCAGAGCCGCTCGTGTTGTTCGATGGCCAAAAGACAATGGTTAAATTTTCAGGTTCTGTGTAGATATTGTAAAAATATAGCAGTCAAAAATAATAAGTTAGCAAATAACTTAAAGGAGAAACGAACAGATCGAACAAGAAAATAATGAATATAATTTATTGACCTAAATACAAACGGTTCAACAATTGTGAGTGTCAATTTATTCATGCTGAGACAGTATTAGTAGTGCTAATGCTTACAATGATTCATGGAGTGTATGTGTACGCGTTTGCAGGATAAGAAATCGAAATATTTTTTGAGAATCTCAGTTTAGTTTCTCCATCTAAAAAGTAAATACACTCCAATCCAATTAACTTGTTTAATTGAGCGAAGAGTATATGGATTGATGGAAAGAACCTTACCCAAAAGCCTATTTCAATCATTACTGTTTTTGCGCTATACTATGTCTATGCATTAATATGCTTAGTAACATAAGGCTGAACAAGCTCACCAAAGCTGCGATTTTGCTAAAAAGGAGAATATTGAAGCACAATTACATTTTACAAACAACATGTAAATTATTGTAAAATGACGAAATCAAAATATGTGTTTCATTGAAAACATACTATAACCAATGACATAAAGGGGTACACCAAAAGTTAATTTCATGAAGGTTTATAAGTCTTTTGTCTCCCATCTTATAAAAGGTAAGAGAGATACTATTTAAAAATGACAAACAAATTAAAGGGAAAAAATGGACATAAAAAATGACGGGCAAAAGATGCGTGAGGAGACCACCGTCCCGTTAATATGTTTACGACTTTAGTGTTGGAATGACAGTCTGTCGTGGTGCAACTCCCCGACTACATTTTTCATGCCAACCACCTTCTTTGCAACAAATTGAAGTAAACATGAGGCACACAAAGCAAAATTCTTTCCCACAAGCTACACACATAATATTTTTGCACGCTTCAGTATTGTGCTCGCAAAGTTGGCCACAATTCGGGCATGCTCTAACACGTGGAACTTTTTGACCAATTTTACAGTCAGGCAAATCGATTTCGTCACAATTTGCCAAAAGAAACAGACTTAAGTCTTTTTCGTTAATACAATAACCACATCCTACTTTATTCGTAGTGGGACCGAACTTTGGCCATTCTCGTAGACATCTCCAACAAAAATCATAACAACGCCCAAATGACTTTGTGCAGTAACCACAATGGACTCTCAGGTTACTCAAGTCCGCGCGCTCAACGATGCTTTGGCAACCTGGACACTGGAAGTTAAAATGGCACAGTGTTTTATAAAGCTGCAAGTGTAAAGTTCAATTCTCAGAGTTAAACAGGTCTGATGATAAATTGACCACATGTTATTGCTGATTAATTCCGTTTCAAATATGTACCTTAACCCAAGATCTTAAAAACACGTCAGAAAACGTATTCCGTGCCGATTTAAATATATTTTTAAGTTATTTGTAGCAAATAAGTCATTCAATTTCCATGTCATCATTGATTTGTATTACACACATTGTGACGCATGGTGCTTTTAAAAAACCGTACTGATGATAGAAATCAATGAATTAAATTGATTAAGCGATGAAATGTTTTTTAACTATCACTGTGACCACACAAACGTCAAACAGTAACAAAAATAAGCAACAAAATATTTTCACATAACATAACCCTTATTTCTATAGAATAAATGACAGTAAATAAATCAGACCTTGAAGCTATTTCTCTATATAAAAAAGCATTCTTCACTGTTCGAAACAATTAACAATTTACAGTCTTGAAATGGAGCTGATTGTGTTCATTTCGATATTCAATTCCACGTTCCAAAGCCCCCCATGTACGTAAAATCTTTTAGGCTTTGTAATCATTATAAAAATGCAACAGGATATAATATTGGATGTATATTCTATTAACTTTTTTTGTCGTTTTAATTGCGTTTTTGGACCACATGACTTCAAGTGCTCTTTGTTCCTCTTGATCAAGTAACGCCTTCTCTCGTATCTCAGTGAAACCCCATTTGGCTTTGCACTCTGGGCATTTAACATCCAAACGACCCTGAAACATACTTTGTATATTGTGGTATGAGTAGTTAATTTTCATTTTGCATAAACCTTTAAAATTCTTATTAATATATAGTATCCATTGCAAAGTTAATCTTAACCACATGCACCAAGCATGTACATATATGTTTTAAACCGGAGCGAGCTGGTAAGTTATTTCCATTTCCATAAAAGCTTACCTTTTCCAATTCATGCTTACTATAGCCAGTCAACATATCAGGATCCACAGCATGCCCGCACGACATTTTACCTCGCCAACTGTCAGGATCATCTAAATGTAAAACGACATCCAGATTACCAAAATAAAATCATTATACAGTTATAGAATTATACAAGGGTTATTTTACCTGCTTACGCAGTTTGTTTGCCCAATTAAATAAAAGTGTCTGACAAGTTAATCCAGAATGTACGTCACGTTAAAAAGGCACAGCAATGTGGGCTGTCAAAATATCATATTTGTCAAATTCACCATCGCCTGTAATAACATCTGCTTCCTTCGTAAGAAAGCTTGAATGGAGCTTTTGGTCGTATCTCTTTGCTTGTCCACCGTTAAGTCGAATCACCATCAGTATGGTCGAACCGTCTTTTACACCATAGTCTTGCAGAATTGCTTCCTCATTATACGAATTTTTATCCGTAAGAGTCACCCCAGCGAAAAGAAGATAAAATTGATCGTATTCTGAAAAGAACAAGCGTTTATAAGGAATCCAAAAATGCTATAACATCTTCAATTTCATGTGCTCTTGTTGACAAATATCACTTATCCATATTCCTATCATTATTATGAACTTTAAAACATAAAAAGATTTCAGAAAAAAAATTATTATTGTAATCAATAAGGCGCCACCAAAGGGCAACAAAATTATACTTTATTAAGATCAGAATGTGATCTTTAAATGCCATGTGTCCGTTAGCGTGTGAAATTTCATAGCTAACAATTTCGTTTTTTTTTCCTTTAAAGTGGATTTTGCATGTTTTTTGGCTGAATTTTTAATGAAAAAAAATTAAACAAAGTTTGAAAGATTTTAAACCATGCTTAATGCATTGTAATGTTGTTTGAATTACAATTCCCGACTAAAAGAGAGTATAAATGAAAAAAAATTAACTAGATACTTTCAATTAACTACAAGTATAAACTAAAAATTTTAATGCTAATACTTAAATTTGCAATACATTAAAATATAATTATATTATATTATACCTAAAATATTATAAAAATATTGACAGTAATAGTGTTATTTCCTTAAATTTTGGTTGAAAACATGATAAATGATATAAAACATCACATAATATAACTTAAGAGTGAATAGACACAGGTTAGGTGCTTCACCTTACCTGCAAAAAAAGTAGCATCAAAAGCTGCAACAGGGAAACGCTGGTTCCACATATTACATATTTTAACTTTAAGATTTCAAAATGCAAACTGGTACCATAAAAAAAAGACTGGTCAAAGATCACCTGATCAATGGATAAAACGGATGTTTTAAAACTATTTAAAAGTTATTTAATTAAATTTATATAAGATCACTTTCGAAAGCACACCTACGAATACAGCATTACACAAATTCCCAAAATTGCAAAATGCTTTAAGATTAATCATCAAAATCTATAATTAAAATCACCTTGAAATGAGAAGTCACAGAGCATTCAGATACAATAAGAAGATGGATGATAAGTTGACTTTTGTAACAGAAATTTGGATGATTAATTGACAGAGATTGACAAAGTTGGGATTTGTATCTAGAGTTCATCCTAGTGATGACGTCATTAAACCGTTATGGAAATATTAACAGATTGCTCTCAAATTTCAATGTTACTGACATTTTTAAACACTTACGTAGAGTCTTTTTTTTAGAAATATACAAAATATATGGGAGTTCAACGGTTATATGATCTTTTTCTCCGGACTTGACTGACAGGAATCCGCATGTCGTTCACATAAGACAAAGGGAGAATTGATTACAAAAAATAATGTAAATTGGTTGTTGACTTATCAAACTCACCACTTATACATAAAATAGCATGTAAAATTTGTTTGGTGAATATATCTTGTAAGTCTTCATATTTTCTGATACTTTAAACAAATGTAAACATTATTCATCTTTTGATACGTCATATGTTCGTTAAGTACATTGTAAATTCACTTTTGTTTACATCTTATCCATCTACTGACCTTAGAATCTTACAAGTTGTGGAATGTTTGCAAAGATGCCAACAACTGATATACGCCATTTCACTGTGGATGATTCGTGACAAGACGGAAATGTGAGTGATGGAATCCATTTTGTAGTTGACTTAGACAAAACTGCTTCACTAATTAATATTGATAAAGTAGTTTATTCTTCCAGGTTAGCCAAGCAGTTAATGAATATTTCGCCGTTTGTCTACTCTTTACTCTTCATTACAAATTTTTCTTTTTTTAATTTCTATTACAGGATGCCACACTTAAATGACATAATTTCAGGCAATACTAACTATTACTATAGTTTATTTCAATTTAGGGTTCTTGCTATATAAATCTGTCGGATGATACACCATAATTCTAATAATAAAATGCCCATGCTATTTCGCCCACTACCCCCTTGCAATGTCAAACATCGTCGACAGTGCACATGACAAGCAAACTTTAAGATAATGATTGATCTCCAAATTGGAATTCCGTTTGGTGAAGTTAAGTTTTTTGAGTTGCAAGGAATACATTTTGTGAATTGCTTCTCGACATATTGCCTAAATGGAGACCCAATCACTGGCATTTCGACGATCTTCTTAAATATGATCTTGGCAGTTGATAATGCGTTGATATTTGCAATAAAGGTCGAGTAGTACAAATGATATTAAAGTTAAGGTGTTTAGTAGGGTAAAATTGCCTTTAAATTATGTTTTTGATTTTTTGTGTATTTATATTAATTAAAAAAGTATCTAAAATTAGATGTAATAGTTTTTTTGAGTTTGCACCGAAAAATATGTCTTTTGATGAGTTTTTCAACCGGTGTAACATGAAAATCTGACCCCCATGAAAATCTAACTCCCCCAGTCAAAATTTCATTATGAAAATCTGACTCCCCCCATGAAGTTTTGACTCTCCCTCACAAAACTTTATAATTTTTATTTTATTTGAGTTTATATTATTTTTTGAGCCCAATATTTTACAACCAAACTTTCAAATATTTCCAATATATTCTTCATAAAGTATACTTAAGGGAAAGATGTTGAAATGATCACCAAATATCAAATAAAAAGCTTTTTTATAGGGGAGTCATTGGGTGATAAAATACCGTTAATTTTATTATTTTCTCATTACAATTTTCACCTGCAAACTAACAAGAAGTGCCAATGTATCCTCCATTATACATACTACAACATAAAAGTCAAATACTCAAACATAATAAGACTTATAAAGTTTCATGGGGAGTCAAAATTTCATGGGGAGAGTCACATTTTCATTAGGAAAATTTGACTGGGGAGTCACATTTTCATAATGAAAATCTGACTGGGGAGTCACATTTTGGGTGAGTCAGATTTTCAAGGTACACCGTTCACATGAAAAATCTATTTTCTAAAAATCTAAAAATCTATTGGCGGTATCTTGTGATCACCACAAAATTAAATAAGTAAATAAATAAAACAAATGGATACGTATATACAACAGAATAAATGTATAACTTCAAATATGTCAGTATGGAGCACAAAAGTTACCAGAACTAATTAAATACAGAAAGAAAGAAAATATAAGGAAGAAGAAATGGATCGTAACTAGTTTACGTATACAACATTGTCAAATAGAGAAGAGATAGTACTTATTGAGTGATGACAAGGTTTTCGAGTAGAAAATTTGCAATAGTTTCGAATATCATTTTATTTTGGGTAGGTGATAGAGATCCATGACCGTAGAGAAATAGGACAACTTTTCTTTTTGTGTTTTAAAAGAGGTCTTTCGTTCATGTAGAATTTCATTTATTTTTTGGTAAAGGGGAGGGTACCTTAAATTGAGTGAGGGGCATCTGAAAAAGAAGTGCAGAGGAGTTTCAAGGGCACCGCAGGTGCAGTGTAATAATAATAATAATAATTTATTAAGCCAATAAAATACAAATGTATAAAATCGGGAATCTTTTGCCCTGTAGTAGCGCCATTGAAATATAAAAAATGAAAATTAAAATTACATGTTAGAGTTAAAAATAGTTACTGCCGAAGGATAAAAGCTATTTAAAAATCGCTTACTACCCTTAAAAGCTAAGAGTCTCGAATTGCTAGGTAAAAATTTAAAAAGGGTATGGGCTGGAGGGGAACTGTCTGTCATTATTGATAATGTTTTCTTTTTAGTCCTGTCTAGATATATAGTATGGACGGGAGTTAGATCTGTTCCAATTACAATCCCTGCAGTTTCGACGATCTTTTCCAACTTGTCCCTCTCCTCCACAGTTGCACGTCCATACCAAACAGTTACTGAATAAGTTAAAATACTCTCTAAAACACACCTGTAAAAGTTCGTTAAAATAAACACATTTCTGGTAAAAGCTTTCAATTTCCTTAAGAAATACATTCGTTGACGTGCCTTTTTCAATAGCTTCGTGATGTTATCGCCCCAGGTTAACCTATTATTCAGCTGAACCCCTAGTAATTTATAATTAGAAACCTGTTCGACCGCTTTACCGTTAACTTCCAAGGGATTTTTACTTATCTGATTTCTTCTGAAGTCTATGATCATTTCTTTTGTTTTGCTCACATTTAATATCAAGTCATTGTCTGTGCACCAATTTACTAAACTTGTAACCGACTGCCTGTATGACATCTCATCATTACGTGTGGTGTGTCAATAGTAGTAGACTATAGTCCAATTATGCCTAAACAATTCTGCTCTAAATAAGCACCCGACCCTCGCTCTGTTAAGAATTTTTCTTGATTTCTGTCCAAGTTTAGTGTTGTTGTTGAAAGCGACCCAGCAGTGAGATGATTTTTATGGAGTACTTGAAAGATGAGATTGAAGCTAAAGACTTAGTGGAGGAGGAGAGTTGATCCCATGAAGACATTAGAAAATAGTTAACTGAGGTACGGGGGTATTTAGGAGGACGTTTAAAGTCTCTTTTGTTATTTTCTAGGGTTGTGATTGGAAAAGGGTTTCTGAATGGGTGGAATATATCAGAAACATAGGTGGGGACCATATTCGCCATAACTGAAAACATAATTTTTTGAGCATGCATTTTTCTTCTATCAAATAGAGAAATCCAATTTAGTTGTTAAAATATTTTGGAGGTACAAGAGCTAGGTAAGGCTCCCAGTACTATTATGCCGGCTTGGTATTGAAGAAACGATAGTTTCTTCTGGAGTGAGTTATGATAGAAGATGTCACAGTAATCAAATTGTGATTGGATAAAGGCATTATATATTACATTTAAATGTTTGGACCTAACTTTGCAGTATAGAGATTTTAGTGCATTTAAAGCCCGTTGAACCTTTTCGCAAACAAGATCAATATGGTCGTTAAAATTTAGTTTTGGATCAAGTATTAGGCTTCGTTCACATGGAATGTCTATTTTCTAAAAATCTATTTTCTATTCGCGGTATATCTTGTGATCACGGTCTGTGCCCTGAATATCCCGCGCGTAATTACTGGCAGCGCGAGCCAGTTACTATAAGTTACTATAAGTTACTATAAGTATGTGTAAAAGGTTATAAGTCTTA